AGAACTGTTCACGGAACAGAAGTAGAACTGTTCACGGAACAGAAGTAGAACTGTTCACTCGACAGACGTAGAACTGGTTACGGAACCGAATGAGAACTGTTCACGGAACCGAAGTAGAACTGTTCACGGAGCAGAAGTAGAACTGTTCACGGAGCAAAAGTAGAACTGTTCACGGAACAGAAGTAGAACTGGTCACGGAGCAGAAGTAGAACTGTTTAAGGAACAGACGTAGAACTGTTCACGGAGCAGAAGTAGAACTGTTCACGGAGCAAAAGTAGAACTGTTTACGGAACAAAAGTAGAACTGTTCACGGGACAGACGTAGAACTGTTCACGGAACAGAAGTAGAACTGTTCACGGAACAGAAGGAGAACTGTTCACAGAGCAGAAGTAGAACTGTTCACGGAACAGAAGGAGAACTGTTCACGGAACAGACGTAGAACTGTTCACGGAACAGAAGTAGAACTGTTCACGGAGCAGACGTAGCACTTACTTACTTAGAGCAAACTTCCACTAAAAATGTAAATTTGACCTAATTATTTATGCGTCCGAGAACTGTTCACGAGCAGAAGTAGAACTGTTCACAGAGCAGAAGTAGAACTGTTCACAGAGCAGAAGTAGAACTGTTCACAGAGCAGAAGTAGAACTGTTCACAGAGCAGAAGTAGAACTGTTCACGGAACAGAAGGAGAACTGTTCACGGAACAGACGTAGAACTGTTCACGGAACAGAAGTAGAACTGTTCACGGAGCAGACGTAGCACTTACTTACTTAGAGCAAACTTCCACTAAAAATGTAAATTTGACCTAATTATTTATGCGTCCGATGAAATGTTATCTTAGGCTGGGGGGGAGGGGTTAGCATGTCCTGTTGACTTTGTCTACAACTAAGAAACCCGACAATATTGATTGTAAAGTTGTGGCCCAGCTTGGTGGGGGTGATATGGGGGAGACATGAATTCTTTCTAGAATGTTCTGGAGACTTCCGGAACATTCTCAATCACAAGTCCGGTCATTTAAAGTCTCCATCTTTTCTATCTTGTCCTTTTCATGTCTCCAGTCTGAAGACGACCCTGCAGAAAAAGATGTCCAGCGACACCGTCGACCTGTCGGGCATCCCGCTGTCCACGGACGACGTCCACCAAGTGGCTTTCTACCTCCAGAACAACAGGGACAGCGTGGTGGCCGTGGACATCAGCTTCACAGAACTCCAGGACGAGAGCCTGAGGGTTCTGCTGCCCCTGCTGGCCTCGCTGCCCAAACTCGGCACCCTGGCCCTCAATGGAAACCGCCTGACCCTGGCTATTCTGAAGGACCTGACCGAGATGCTCAAAGACCCCAAGATGTTCTCCAGCCTGGCCTGGATCGATCTCGGCAACAACGTGGACATCTTCACCATGCCCCAGCCCCTGCTGGTCGCGCTACGTAGGCGCTGCAGCCTGAAGAGCAGCCTGCCGACCATCTACGAGTACACCGAGGGCCAGCCCTACTGCTACCACCTGGAGACCTCCATCGAGGAGCCCAGCCACTACGAGGAGGACGAGAGGGAGGAGGGGGAGGCGGACTACGACGGCACGGGGAACAGGTTCGACCTGGAGCCCTGGAGTTCAGGGGAGAAGCAGCTCTCCAAAGACTTCACCCTTCACTACTGTGAGAGGTGATGAGGCGCCCTCTACTGGAGGCTCCTTCATCTGCGGATGAGACGTCATCCCACAGCAGTGTGTGATTGCCTTCACCCTCTCGCCCTCACACCACGAGCCCTGTCATCCCTTTGACGCAGGAAGTAGACCAGTACCCAGCTTTCCGAACTTGTCATTCAAACACAACTATGGAGCTCCTCTCAACCCGGTGTTTCCGAGGCTAACCGTGCGATAGCGCCAGTCATTCTGTGGACTTACTGCGTGACGGTGACGGTTGGAGACGATGTGGACGAGGAGTTGACAAAACTGATTCTCTTTTCCTCCGAGAGCTGAGGAGCCGGTACCGGGGTTCACGTCAGATGGTTGGATGGAGGAGTAGCATTTCCAGCAGCCACTGAAGAACTGGAGCGGTGGCCGGGGGGTTGGGAACCAGTGGTTTTTCCTCCCTGGACTGGGACGCTCCGTGTCAGGCCGCGTCCTGTTCCACATTGTTCATCTCCATTAATCTCTCGACAAAAGCCGTGACACAAAGTCAACAGACGACGTCGACCACAACCGTGTCACATGACTCTGGCAAAACTGCTAGGTCAAGTCTTTTTACATTGTTGCCCCCGCCCCCCCACACACCTCCCTGTTCCAGGTACCCCCTCCCTACCCCCACATGTCAGTGTGAAGAGGACAAAAACCTTAGTTTCCACCAGCTGTTTTTGTTGACTCCTGATGAACAGAGACTCTGAGACAGGAAGGAATGAGGGGAGCTGGGGGGGGGGGGTCGGGGTCCGTGGGGGGTCTGATGTTCACCATCCTTCCTGTTGTTAGACAGCTGTACTCGTCCCACTCGGTGTTGTCTGTCTTGTGGGTGTTGTTGACACACCGTGCCGTTGTCGGTTCGCAAACTCGTTAGCTCGTAAAGACGCGTTAACTGTTATTGTTTCGGTTTCTCCACGGACTCGAATTTAGGGAAGTCCTTTTTACCGATGTTGTCCAAACACGTAATTTTCCAATTTCCGATATCCACTTTCACTTTATAACTATTTTTAGGTCACATCATCGGGGCTAAACCCACACACATTGCGTTATCGGGTTTTTCATTATTGGAGGAAACGATCGATAACGATTCTTAGCGACATTACACATTTAAATTAATATAACTGATTCCCTCATCAGTCAACAAGGACAGACAACCACACATCTCCCGTTGGCGCCTCCTGTGGCGGCCTGTGTCAGTTGCAAAAACTCACTTTGTCCGATCATTAATCAGAAGCTTACGTATCCTAGCGGCCCCGTTAATGACGTTAATTACTGTTGTTGGTCTCGGACTGTGGTGTTAACTGTTCTCCGGAGATCTTCACTGAGCACGTGCAGATGTGTGTCTTACGTGTGTGTGTGTGTGTTAGTCAGTCAGTCAGAGGTTTGATCCCCACCGTGATGTCACTGCTTCTGTCTCAATGTTCTGTCTTCTGTCCCACTGGTCCGTGGTGTTAGCGGCGTTAGCTTTAGCGTTAGCTAGACGTGATCAGGATGTAGCCAACGACCATCACGACTCGTCGTAATTATTATAATAACGAAAAGCACTAATCTGTTTGTAATGTCTGACTGTGTGTTGACGTGTCGTCGTTGTTGTTGTTGTTGTTGTTGTACGTTTGTTCCTTCAATAAACACGGTCGACACCAGAGAAGGAATCTTGCACCATGTCGTTCTGGTCACTTCCAGAGTGGAGTTCCACAGATGTTCTCTTTGTTGGTACCGTTTCTTTGAAGAATCTACGTCAAGATCAGTTGCCCAACCTTAGCTAACAACAACCAAACCAGAACTGACTGTTGGAGAAAGGCATGATGGGAGGAAGTCCAAACGTACCTGTCTGATCCGATCTGGGCACGGCGTCAACGGAACCAAAAACGAAGAAAAACGGTTCTTCGGGAAACCGATTCCTCCGCCTCAGTTCTGAGGAATCGGTTTTCCTGAAGAACCGTTTTCTTCTTCTCTGGTCAAACTGTCGGTTCCAAAGAAATGTCCCTGCAGTTGTTCCTTCACACGGTACAAGTTTAATGTTGGAATAATATTAAGAACAGGATTGTTTACGTCAGGATCAAATAAAGTACTGAGGAACCAGGCAGAAGGTCCTGGGTTTAACTCCACCCACTGCCCCCTCCTAGTCCCCGCTCCTCCAGTTTTACAACACCGAAAGTTAAATATATGTAATGTGAGGTCAACAGTCTGATGTCAAAGGTCAGAACTTTCCAACGGCAAAAAGTACGTAAAATGTCTCAGAAAAGGTGAAAAACATCAGATGTTTGGTCCCGAAGAACCGATCCCTGGTACTGATACCACCTCGGGCTCTTTGTTTGAGTTCTGAGTACCGAGTTTCTGTGTCCTCTGCTCTCCTGAAGCTGGAGACCTTCAAAACCGCAGCAGCGTCTCGTGACGCCGGGGCCTCAGTACCCGGCTGCTCGGCCCAGTTTCCTGCTGTCGGACACGGCGCAGATGCAGCCGTCCTCCTGTTTCTCCACCGCGTTGACCACGTTGAAGAAGCGGTGGGCTTCGGGGTCCTGACGATGGCCCAAAGCCATGAGCGCCTCCGTGAGGTTCTGCGGAGGAGAGAGAGGAGGTGCTGGGGTGAACGCGGGTGCGAGTCCCGGCTCGAAAGTTCACCAGAAGTTCACCAGGTTAATGAATCAAGATAAGTCAAGATTAATCTGAAGTTTTCGACAAGTGGGCAGGAATCGGTTGGAGTTCCTGTGTGAACTAGAACCGGAACAGGTTTGGTTCTCCACCTTCCCCTGAGGACAGTTCCTGCGACCATACATCAAAACCAATAATGAAACAAATGACTTTTCTTAAACTAAATACACAAACGGCTCGGAGTAATGCCAGGTACTTGGTACACAATGACTCTGTGTCTTTACTGTAGTATTTGTTATAGAACCGGTTCTGTTTGTTTGGCAACTCATTTATTCCACTTCCTGTGAACCCACCACAGAGGAACAAGGATTAGACTTTAGGAAAAAAATGTGGCCCGCAGATCTACATCTGGGCCGCAGCTGGAGGTCAGTAATGAAATTTTTTTTTTTTTTTAAGACAAGGGTGAAGTGGACGTCAGGGACAGACAGCTCCGAGAAAAATGGACCTGGAAAAGATCGAACCAATGACCCTCTTACTGTAAGGCAAGAGCAGCGACCGCCACACGTTCGTTCGTTTACCTTATCGAAGTTGGCTTCGAACCACAAGTCATTCTTAGCGTCGACAAAAATGACCGGCGCAGCGATGGACTCCCTGAGGCCCTTTCCGAACCAGATGTGGTGCATGACAGCCTAGAGGACAATCGGGGTATTACAGGTTAACAGTGGAGACGGTTAAGACAACATTAAGGAGACAGGAGTCTGTGGAGACACGAACCGAGGCCATGGCCGTCGTGATCATGGACCCGCCGGTTCCTCCGATCACCAGGGTTCTGGTCGGAGACTTCAGCAGCGCGGGTGTCATGGAGGACGGAGGCTGGTCCCCTGAGGACAGGACAGAGGCCCAGAGTCACGGGGATGGTCTGTGGTCCACTCTGACCAGACATACAGTCAGTCAGAGTCACTGAAGCTCGCCCCCTCCCATCCACTGTGACTTCCGCTGAATTAATTAGTGGCACATTGAACTTTTGAGGTCGCCAAATATGTTGAAACCCAATGGTTCACCACCGATTGTGCTTTGGCTCCCTGTAGTGGACAAAATGTGAATAGCGTCGTTATTCTTGCCCCGTAAATACTGCAGGTAAAGTATAGAATTTTTAAAAAACGAACTGAAACCACTTCCTGTTCTGATCTCAGACTGATGTTTGCCCCCCGGGGTAAAAATCAGGGGGCCGGGGGGGAGCGGGTACCTGGAAAGATTTCCTCTACTCTGCCACAGAAGTCCGACAGCTGGTTATTGAGGATGACTCCGGTCCTGGGGGAGAAGACCCTGGAGCCAAAGCTGTGGAGGGAACCGCATTAGTGACGGGTACTGACACGGGTGTAGAACCCCCCAACCGCTACACACCCTCCCCCACCTCCCCAAGTACTGACATGTGGTTGATGCTGCTGGTGACCGACACAGCAGAGCCGTCCTCAGCCAGCACTGACAGATGTGTAGTACCCACGGTGTCCAGGTGGTGGCTGATGTTGTAAAACTGTGGCTCGTGTGTCCTGTCGCTCAGGATCAAGGTTCGTATGCGGTCGGCAAAATCGTCCTCCGTTAATTTTCTCCCCATCTGAAAAAAAAATATACATAATTATTCATTCATAATTGCGATTTTAAATAAACAGGTCAAGTGCAGACAGTGATGTCACTAACGTAATTTGTTTTTACAAATTAAAAAAAAACCCTGAACTCCACAAATCATTTCAGATATAAAAAAAAAAATTATGTGCCAAACTATGTCAAACTGAACTTTTTTTTTTTTTTAACGACGTCATCATGTCACGATCCCTCCGTCTGGTTGATAACCTTCTTCCTGGTCCCTGAACGCCTCTAGTTCCTGTGCTGGTTTTTTGTTTTTTATCATTGTCTTTTGAATGATTTATGGTACGTGACCGTGGCAACATTGACAGACTCACTGCCTCCGTAGTCAACCGTGGGTGGAGGTCCTTCTTCAGCCCGTTGGCGAACTTGAGGGCTTCAACGTAACGGTGATAGGTCAGGGTCTGGTGTTCTGCTGCTAACGTCAGGCCAAATCCTGAGGAAACAACAACATAGAACGTAAAATGAACGTAAAAAAAACGATGGAAAAAAATGACTCTCTCTTTTTATTACGCGCTGCGCTGCCCTCTAGAGGCTGCATTAAATGTGTGTGTTTCTGTTTTTGGTCAATAGACAACGTCAACTTTTATTTTGAAACTATCGCTTTTATTGTGATTGTGTATTTCCATCCGATGCTATGAAAGCTAATTCCTCGGCAGCCAATGAGGTAATTTACGCCATAAGTATTTTACTTGTTGACAATTGTTTTGTTTACTGTACTGTTCGTACAGTGTATAGTTTTGAAGGCGGAGCTTCGGATAAACGCGAGAGGAAAAAAAACATTAGTGGTGTTCGTGCCTCGGGGGAAACTACACCCCCCTGTGGTTAAAGGCTGTTTGTTGTTGGTGTTTTGTCCGGTAATTGAACCGTGGTCTGCGGGTTATTTTCCACTTGACTTTACTTAATAATGAGAAGTCTTAACGTCGGAGCGAGGACATAGACCTAGCCTACGATCTCTGTGACCAAGCACCAATCAGGTGACAGCACGGTGACAGCTGTTCTCTGTGGGCTGTTAACCTGTAGCTCAGTGTACTTCAGAGGTGTGGAGCAGAACCTTTCAGAATGTTGAGGACCAGGCTGAGGACTATTCCCCCTGCAGGCGGTGGAGGGATGTACATCTGGTATTCCCCCAAAGAAATTTTCCAGGGCTCCGACACTTTGGCCCTGTACTGAGCCAAGTCCTGGAGCGTTAGCGTCCCTCCTGAGTAGAACGAAGAAGGTGTCACGTGCAGTACTAAAGATTCATTAAATACTTCCTAAATAGTAAAAGTACCCTAAATATTTATGGACACAGTGCGTAGCTCCTCCCCCTTACCAGCAGGGGGTTGAAGCGCTGGGGGTTTGTTGTGATTTCATTTTTTTTCACCCGAGGTGACGAGAGGCGAGAACAGACATGAAGGTACTACCTGCCTCCTGTATGTCGTGGATCAAATCCCGGGCCACGCTCCCGGTGTAGAAAACATCGGCCCCGTGGTTGGCGATGGTCTGGAAGGTGTCGGCCAGCTTCTCGAACCTCACCGTGTCTCCGGTCTTCAGTAAGTTCCCGTCCTTGTCTGAAAATAACTTCCTGCAGGAGTCAGAGGACAAGGTTACCACAGAAGTACTCGTACGTTTGCGCGTACCGCGCATCTGTTGGCGTCCTTCTCACCGCAGGGCGCGGCTCTGGTTGGTGTCGGTGAACGGGATGTATCCGCCTTGAACTTTGGGAACAGGAAATCCTTCTCTGGCCAACCGGATGGCTGGCTGGAAGAGAGTGGCCCACGGTAACTTCCCGTAAAGGCGGTGGGCCTGTTCGTAACCCCGCAGTTCCCCTGGTACTGCAATCCACTGGGTACCTGGAGGACGTAAGCAGGTTGGTCGGTCGGTCAGTAGGTTAGTTTGTTCGTTCAAATAAATGCTATAAATGGACCAAAGCTATGATAAATCACACAGTGGAGGAGGTGGTTTTTACTTGTGCCTTACAGTGGAGGAGGTCACTGGTTTGAGTCCCAGTGGTAGACAATGATAACAACAGTAAATGAGTGAAATGTTGACTCTGTGGAGACGACAACAGCAGCAGCGGCGGCGGCGGCACAACAACCACCGTTTTGATTTGGTGTTGACGCGATTGTCCTACAGCTGCGTGTCACAACAGGAAAACATCTGTCGATTTACCTGTTGTTCCACTGTGTGTTTACGCGTGTTCCATGTCTGGGCCACAGATAAAAGAACAGACAGAGATTTATCTGGAGAAAAAAAAAACACATGGAGTGGTCACGTGACTCCTGAGGCCACAGTGGATTCCTGAACCAGGAGGGGTCCCACAAGAAAAGTCTGGTGTTTATCTACTCTGTGATTGATGAGGGGGCTTACCCTCACGGGGGCGGGGCGTCCAGCCCTTTATCAGGGAAATCGGACCTAATCATGTGAAAAATGCTGTGGTCCGACTGACTCACTCACCACCCCTGCCCCCCCACAACAAAACCCTAAAATGCGGTGGTCACTTTTTCCATCACCAGCTTCTTGAATTTTTTCTTAGTTTCTACGGCAACAAGTGCTGGTTGTTACAACAACACTTCTATGACGTCAGCCACAGATGAAGCTAACACGTCGACCACTAATTGACCACGTCAATTCAAAATTACAAAAAAAAAAAAAAAAAACCCCCACAATAACAGTTAAACTAGTGATTCCCAAAGTGGGAGATGGGTCCCTCTTGTGGCGCTCTGAGCTATTGCAGTAGTGGGTGCTGCTGGAAAAAAAAAATTTTAATTTTTTTTTCAGGGAGTGTAAACTGAAGACACGCGAAGACACGACTATCAGCGTAGACTTTTATCGGTACCTGACAACAACTGGAAGCGGCTGGGACATGACCTGAGCAGGTCGGACCTGGTCTTCTCCGGTACCGTCTCCCTGGCGTTGATAACTGCCACACGACCTTAAAGGAGAGAGGAACTGATCAACTGGGTGCCGAGGACACGTACGTGACCAGGTACCGATGAGTTTGAGTGATACTGCATCTTTACCATTGTTGTCCATCACTGTGAAGATGGCCCCGCCTCCTAGGCCCATGCTCTGAGGGTTGACCAGGGTGGTACACAGCAGTGCGGCAATGGCGCCATCTACGGCCGAGCCCCCTTGTTGAAGAATGTCCCTAGAATATTTCACATTCCATAACCTTCATTGGTTGCGGCCAGAGCAGTAGTAGTTGTACTCTTGTAATCATGATACAGCTAGTATATACAGTAAAGTTTGAAGTACTTTATGATAAAAAGATAAAAGTAAATCAGTTAATTATAATAAAATAAATAAATATTGTCAACTTCCCGCTTACAGGACAGTATCACGCTGGCATTCGAACTCTCAACCTGTCTGTGCTTACGTGTACCTTGTAATAATTGCCAACACTAATGCTGTCCTTGTTAAGAGAGAGCAGCGCCACTCACCGTCCAATCTGTGAACAGATGTGAGAGTCTGCCGCCACCGCTGCCCTGGAAAAAGTGTCTGGTGAACAGCGACTCCTCACCGCGACAACAACGAGAAGAGGCACGGCCACGGCGCACAGCAGCGTCAGAGCACAGATGGTGAACACTATGATCCTGGTCCTGGTCCTGGTCTTAGTCCTGGTCCTGGTTCTAGAGCTGGTACCGGCCATAGTTCAGGTCCTTTCAGCCTGGTCCTCTACACTGCCTTCTCTCAGTGCCGGTTCAGGTCTATCTTCAGTCCTGAGCAAAGCAGGCCCCGCCCCAACACACCGCCCCCACCCGGTAGATTTTTTATCTAGATATGAACTTCTTTTTTCCTTTTTTTTTTTTTTTTTTTTTGTTACAAAAAAAGTTACAAAAACAAAAGGTTCTGTTTATGCAAATGAATATTTAAACTGTGGACAACAATTGTTTACAATGTAAATAAATCACATATAAATAATAATAATAAAAAATAAAAAACACTACAAAAAATAGTAAAGTATAGCATCGTATAATATTATCAATAATATAATACTTTATAGTAAAATATAGTATAGTTAATTTATTGTATCATTTATCAGAGCATACTCCAGTACTACAAAGTATCTAAACGAAGTACTCTCCATATATTTCAAACATTAATCCGGTTCGATATATCTAGAATAAAAATAGAATTTAATAGTAGATGTGATTATAATAGTGTTATGGACGATGATGATTCAATCAGCCGCGGTGCACCTTGGGGAATGCAGTCCGTGTCGCATTGACAAGACGGGAAAAAAAAGACGTTTTTTTTGTTTGTTTGTTTTAGAAGAATCAAGTCATAAACGTTGTCACGAGAATCATGCGGGATGTAAATGTTTACACTTTCAAAATAAAAGTAACCAATCGTTGACGAAGGTCCCGTCAGTAAGCCCCGCCCCTTCCCTCCCTTCGTCTTCCTCGTGTTATTATTGTTGTTGTTGTCGCCCAGTTACCGCTGTGTGTGTTGTGAATCAAGTTTTCCCGGACAAACTATCATCATTCTGTCCTAAAATAAAGCGCGCTTTAAGTCACACATATTATGAACAAGATAAAACAGGCTTTTAATAAAAAGAAAAAGTTATTTTATGATACATATACAGTAAGTCTTAAATCTCTGAGTTGTCGAACATAACAGAGCTTGTTTTTTCTAAATGAAGCCCCCTTGTAAACACTCGAATGACGTCACTGATGGCGTCAAACGCGGAAGTGTCTCACAAAGGGCGGGAGGCGGAGTTGTCCGTTCTCTAACAACTGTTGGCGGATTAACTATGAGCTGGTGAGTTAAACTCGGTCAGTGTTGGACGTTCACGATTGAAAACGCTGACGTTTAAATGTCTTTATCACTCGGTGTTTTAATGGCTAGTGCTACGGTGGCCGCGAATGTCAAAACACAACAACATTTCGCAAAAAGACACAATGACGTTCTCCATTTTTTTTATTTTTTAAACCGGGTTCCAAAGTCATGGGCACCGCGAAGTAGAAACAGGAAAATAACGTTACACTGTCGGCTTCTGGCCAATCACAAACAGGAAGTGTCGCCCCCTAACCCCTTTTCCGTAATCTGTCGCGTTCTCTGTAATGTTGTGTTAAGTGAAATGTCCTTGTGTTTTGAACCTCGGTGCCACCGTATAATACGCTGAACGAACCACAACAGAAATAAAACAGAATTCTAGAAACTAAACGGACAAAGTAACGCTTCTAAACTAACTTTAAAGTGAAAATACGCGTTACAGTCGTCGGGATTCACGTCAACGTAGTTGTAATGAATGTTAAAAAAAGAAATATTCACCTGTAGTTATGTGGTTATTGAATGTGTGTCTCTACGTTTCCTACTTTTATATATTATATGTAACGTCTTAAAGTAATGTAACTGACATACTTTAACTTGCTGTACAAGAAAAAGACAACGATACAAATGTCTTCTTTGTTCTTCCAAAAAAAAAACGTAAAAAACATCTGTGACAACAAGAGACCGAGCCCACAAGTCTGTGTCTGCCCCAGTTTGATGGTTTTACCAGGTGTTCCGGAAAGTTCTCGAAAATTCACAAACACGTAGATTGATGGTTTCCTACCACGGACGCTAATGTGCGTGTCCTGCGCGTGAACTAACAAACCTGGTAACTCCGAACGGGATTTAACAGTAAACAGTGACAAACTTTTTTTTAAAAAACGGTTTTTTTTCTTTTATTTTGAAATGCAACACCGGAAATCACAATCCGCTTTTCTCTGTTGGTTTGACGCGGCTCGTCTTCCTTTGGTGAATCCAGAGTATTTACAACCAAACATCTACCGACACTGCCGTCCGCCACAGACAGACAGACAGACGGGAAGTCAGCCTGGTGCGCCACAGCTTTATTTTCCCCCCGCTGTCAGACGGATGTCGGTTCCTTTTTCGACCGATTTCGTGCATTTTCCTGTCCTGTTGGCCAGTGATAGCACTGCAGTGGTGCGCAGCTTCGCCTGGAGAAACACCTGTGCACCTCAGTCATAAATGTTGAGTAGGTATGGACGCCAGAAGAACCGTGAGCTCGACGATCGCTGATCGTTTTACCGAGGTTTATAGTAGATTATCGGTAGATTATCGATTATCAGCAACTCCAGGGGACCACGGTAATTTGAAACAGTGTAGTTCTTTGGGCAGAAAGGAAAGGCTGGTGTTTGTGCACGGCTTCGTGGTTAGGTCTGGTTGACGTGGGTGTGTG